GTGTGGGAAAAAGAACACAATATGACGGAATTTAGAGCTGGAGAGCATACTTGAGTACTACAGTAGTTCCACCTACGAACTTGGGAAATCATCTTATATGGTCCCATTTCCCATTTCCTCTTTCTTTCCATCCTCCCTCCAACTACTGACCTTAGTTCTACCCCTCTTCTCCTCTAGCCTTTTATCCGAAACTCCTACTTCATCAATTATCCATCCGTCAGTTTGCTTCCTCCCTTCATTGTACAACACAAAGCAACCTCTCCTCCTTCCCCCTCCCGCAGATGTTAGCCCCCTTATCTACAAGGATAGGCCACAGCCTGGCCTGGTTTTTGCAGATAGACCTGAATCTGGGCCACGATGCTAAGGAGGCTCCAATTCCTAGAGTGGTAGAGGGTGATGATGGGGGCGGTCTGGGGACATCATATATTGAGTATGAGTCAACCGTGATGGAATGGTTCCAGCAATACAAACCATCGGTGCTCGGCTTTGTCTCTTACCGCCTTAGCCTTATACCATTTCTTTCGTGAATCAGAAGATATAATCTAAAATGGTTGTATGGAGACTTGGTCACAGGAATCACGGTGGAGTGTGTCATAATTCCTCAAGGGAGTAAGTTTTGACTTTTTTCTCATTCTTTCAATTCCTCCGAACCTTTTTGTTTTACCTCTCACCACCTTTTTCTATCTTTTATTTATGGGTTTAGAACGATTGAATACTCTTGCCATCTTGTTTGCAATCAATTGACGAATTGAGGTCGATGTACTATTTCGCAATTGCGCTATAGTGGCATATGCTAAGATCACGCTCCTCCCTGTTGAATTCGGTCTCTAATCATCATTCTTTGGAGTTAGGATCTACTGGTTCTTCGCAACTTTAAAAGATATCTCAATCAGTCCAGTAGCCGTAATGTCCACACTAGTCAGCAACATCTTATCTAAAGCGCCAAAAAATTCGAAAACTTTCCCCTATTTAAAGGATGATATCACTTCTTTCGTAGCCCTGGTTTGCGGTGGGATCGTGAGCGTAATGGGCCTTCTCCTTCCCAGTTTCAATGTAGAATACATTACTCTTATAGCAATTATCTCATTCATGACCAGCTCTGCTATTAGTATCGCAACGGGGCAGGTCTGCTCCCTGCTTGGTCTCTCCGGATTTAATACTTGTGACCCTACGTACAAGGGTATTATCAATATCCTAAAGCACCTTCACACAGCACAGTTGGATGTGGCAATGGGATTAACCACCTGGTTCTTATTGCACCTCATTCATTGGAATACCAGCACCTACTTACAGAAGAGATACCCGAGTCATAAGAAGAAATCATGGTTTTTCATCTCCACCTTGAGAACAGCATTCCCAAGCCTGCTGTACACTGTAATTACCTGGCTGGTGAATCGGGGACATGCCCCCAAGAAAGTACTTTTCAAGATCTTCGGAACTGTCCCTTCCGGGTTCAAGCCCATGGGTGTTCAAAAGGGAAAGGCCAAGATTTTTAAAGTTTTCATAGATGATTTGCAGGGGGCGGTTATTGTACTATTATTGAGCATATTATATGTTCTGTGCCATCTTTGATCACTAATTGCTAGACTGCCGGCTAACCAAGCATGATTGTCAGGCGATTTTGAATTCGTTTGGTAGAATAAACAACTACTACATTAACCCATCTCAGGAACTTATCGCGATCGGGGTCACCAATATCTTCGGCCCATTCTTCCGCGCATAATCCACCACTGGATCATTCTCCCGCACAGCTATCAAGTCAAAAGCCGATGTGCGCACACCCTTCGCTGGAGTAATCACTGGAGGACTTCCCGTAAGCCTATACCGCCTGGATAGAACAGGAATTTCCGAATATTGTAAAATAGGAGAGGGTGTGTAAAAGTAGTGAATAGAAGGGGGGGTCGACCCCCCCCTTCTATTCAGATCATCTATTCCGATGAAATAGAATGTGTTTAAATGGAAGTGGGGAGACTAACAAGATACCACCTCTCCAAATAAGGATATACGATGCAACTCTACCTAACAAGAAATCCAGTTATTGAACTAGTGCTTTAGTTTATTCCCAATGCAACAAGTGAGGGAACTGGCTGCAATCCTGCTGTCTACGGGAAGTCAGACCTTCTATTCAGCTCTCTATTCCAATAGACCTCGATCCCGATAGACTCACGGGAAGTCCTCCACTGGTATTGTCATCCTACTGGCTATTTACCTCCTGACCTCGGTGTTCTACAAAATACCCAATTAAAGTCTCTTCGCCATCATCATCCACTCTGTCAGCGATCTGATCACCCCCCTCAATGCAGTGTACAAATTCTGGTGCATCTCCCCTCTAGAAGTGGTTGTCTTCTTCGCGGGTGTCATTGTGATGGTATTCACGTCCATTGAGAATGGAATCTATGTTACAATTGCGCTGTCTGCTGGCGTTATGTTGTTCAGGATTGCGAAGGTGAAGGGGTGTCTACTGGGTAAAGTTCAGGTCCGCTCGGCCACGGGTGCTAGTCTATATAGTGTTGACTACCCTAGTGACCGAGGGAGTGAAGTTGCGCTGCACATTGCGCCCGTGGAATTGGTTAAGGGCAGCGCTGCAAAGAAGACTCTGGGGTGCAGTCTTGATGACAACAGTGCTAGAAACATTTACTTACCATTGGATCTGGCTGACGGCTCAAACCCAAGCTTAAGGGTCGTAAGCCCATATCCAGGAATCTTCATTTACCGCTTCTCAGAAGGTAATTCTCTCGCTTCTCCTTTCTCTTCCTTATAGTCCCTGACTAACAATGCCCAGGCTTCGTCTACACCAACGCCTCCCACTACACCGAAAACCTCCGTGACAATCATCGATGCGGGAGACCAGGCCTGGAATGACCCGACACATAAGTCCTAGGTCGTGGCCCATACTCCACATGGTAATTGTACACTTCGCCTCTGTGAACATCGTCGACAACACCTCCGGGCAGAATTTCATCAAAGTGCGAAAGCAATTGGATCGGTACGTCCTACCCGACACAGTAGAATGGCACTTCACCTCCATTGGGTCCTACTGTACCAAGCATGCCTTGACTGCTGCTGGATTCGGATTCCCCAGTAATACAGAGGGGGATTATGATAGTAAAAAGAAAGCTGGATGGACTCCTGTATTCTCAGCTGCAAGCGATGCGGAGACAGTTGTCGTTGATGAAAGCCTTGGAGAGAAGAAGGAGTTTGGATGAGGAGGGTAGGAGACCGCTTAATGGGAGCTGCTCCTCCGAGGAGGACGATAATGGGGTCGGAAGGATTGGAACGACTGGTACTGGCAAGTGGAGCGTTCCAGTCATCGGTGGTAGGATTAATAGGCCGTTTTTCCAAGTTGATATTGATCGGGCATTGAGGAGTGCTATCACCTCTATTGAGGGTTGTTAAATCTTTTCCTCTCCCCTTCCTTCCTTTTACTTCTGTCGGGGAATCAGTTTCCATTTTCTTTGTTTTGTTCAATTGGTTTGTTAGTATTTTTTTTTTTCAAACCTCAGGGAAAAACTTGTTGATTCCCGTTTATACCATATCATAATCTTATTCATTTTCACCAGACGAAGTGCGCCTCCACATCGCTTTTGAATAAAAAAAAGGTTTAAACAGAATTCGAAGATGGGCTGGCAAATATCGCATAAAAGCAGACAAGAGCAACAAGGCAACCAGCCGTAACGCTACTACTGTAGAAGTGCTGTAAAGTGGACGCCTTGTATTTGTTTTTCACCCCTCTCAAGTCTTTGGATTCATTCGTAAGTACTGCCCTGTAAGAAGATAGTACAAACTTGTACTCTGGTGTAAGCGTAAGTGATCAGAAAAAAAGTTGTTGACTGCAACCAGCGGTTTTTCCGATCACTTTTTGCTCCAGGCTGGTACAGTTGTTTGTTACGCATCAGGGCGAGTTCGTTGTTCACATCCTGCACAGTACTGCACAGTATGATACGAGTATATAGATACATCTCACAGATAGTACAGTTCTTCGTCAACTCTACAGCCACTGCGACCACAATTCAGGGGATCGCAGCTGGATGCGGTGCGGCAGGGGAACCTGGAGGCAAGAAGAGACAGGCTATGCCTAGTTATTCCGCAAAGTTTAACCTTCCATCTCACTTTATTGGTAGGAATCATCTTGCTGTTTCTCCCCCTGGTCTGGTAAAAGGCTTTGTTGCGTCGCATGATAGGCACACGGTTACGGTATTGAGAAGGTATAAATACTTACCATTATCCCATGGGCCGTCGAGACATCCAGTCCATTTTAAACTTTGGAACACTAGCCTATTTGGGTAAAGTGCAAGAGCACGTGATATAAGAAAGAAGCAAAGACTACGGGTACATAGAATGAAATACAGGAAAACACTCATAGCATAATGAAAAATTGCACTCTCTACAGCCTCCAGTAACAGGTTGAACCTTTAAAGCACATCCAGTAACTTGCTTCCATCTACAAAAAACACAACGAGTACGGGTTGGACGGTGTTCATATGAGTGTGTGGGTGGAGGAGGAACTCAACCGGTTGAGGTGGCCTGGAGTGGGCAGAAAGATAGAGCGTACGCTCAGTAAAGCTTGACGAACACAAACGACTTGGAGATACAGGAGGTTATGAAGATCTGGAGTTTTCTTAGTATAAGAGATTTTGAAAAGGCCTAGTTTAGGCCAATGTAGTAAAAGCAAGTCTTCTTGCCACAGTATACTTTCAAGAATAATTAACTTGCCCGGACTTGTCGTGAAGCAAAAACCAAACTCCCACATTAATAGAGACCTTGTGAACACAGTTGAATAACCTAAGCAAGCGTCTTTATAAAGCCCTTTAAGTGATTCAATACTTGGAAAGCTGCTGTGTGACCAGTCCAGACAAGTTTGCTATTCCTGAGAGTTTCTGGTACCATAAAAATTCAGTTATAACGAACTCGCCTGGGTTGGTTATGCAGCACTTTTCAGTGCTTCGAATGCCCTGGGAGGGCGTCGAAGGAGGCTTGCTTATGTTATCTGACCCTGTTTGCAAGCTCTCCATCAATCAGGGGGTCCGATTTCACTACACGACCAGCCCAGACGAGTTCATTATGACCGAGCTTTTACGGTATTTTGAAAAAAAAAAAAAAAAAAAAGTAGTAGTAGAAGAGGTAGGAGAGCAAACGGTGAATGCTCCAACCTGAAGTCATATGCTTTTAAAGTTTCTCTTAAGCCAATATCGATTAATTTATTGGCTAGCCGTTCGCGAAAGAGGTAGTGCTGGCTTCGGCCCTTATGATTAGGATAGAGTGTTTTGAGTAACCGGTAGGCATTAATGATTGAGGTATCTAATAACCAATAGAATAAGGGGTACCAGTTGTGAGAGGCTTTCTGCTGTGTAGAGTAATAACTACGAAGTTGATCTGCGATATCAACTCCGCCCATATGAAAGTTGTTGTCGTTAATGAATGCTGGAATTGGTAGTAGCTTTCGGGGTTCATCACCAAATATCCTTCGTACCATAAGAGCATTCGCACTAGTTTTCATTATCAAGCTTCGCAAGTTCAGCTATTCCTTGAGATACTGAATACCATAAAAACCCATAAGTATACCCTTGAGAACATAAGGCAAAGATCTTGTAGCCTTGTTTAATAGGATTGTTTTTAACCTTCAGGGTATGAAGACTACGACCACAAAACCTAACCATCATTTCATCAATTCCTACTTTTGTACCAGGTACAAAGTAATGATGCAAGCGTTCTTGCAACTGCTCGGCCAATGGACTAAGCTTCTTATACCAGTGTTCCCGGTCAAGCTCAATTCTTGGGTCCGAAACATGCAAATATCTCTTAATTTGCTCAAACCGCGTAAGAGACATGTAATTCTTAGGTACCCTATACTGGCGACGGGAGGAGAGGTAGCTTTGCCGCAATAGTGGCCGAATAGAAGTCTTTCTCCACCTATTTCTTCCTTCTTTATACCAATGCCGGGCTGGGGAAGGTTCCCGATGCAAGCCCATCTTAATTACCAATCCGAACCATATCTTTAATTCGGCCGCCGTAGTCGCTCTCCACACCCGAGAGTGTGTATTTGCTTTGGCACCCAAGTGCCGATTCTCCGCCATCTTTCTTCCTCCTCACAAACCGGTTCTCTTTATCTCGGCATAAAGATTCGTATTCGCAACGAGTTCTGTGAATGTCTCATCCGTAAAAAAAAGAGAAAATAGCAAATAGGGCTCATGCTTGCAGTTTATTGCCAGGAAGACCTAGTCAATGGAATATTAACAGCCAGTTTTTGCTGTACTCACAGACACAGGACATTTGTGAATACGACCAGGTCTGCATATGCCCGCATATCATAGATGGCCGAATGGTTTCAGCAGCATCAACGCATTGAATTGAAAACTCTGACCTAAATACAAGTACCTGTGAGTTCCCTTCCTCAAGGGTTGCTCACTAGCAATACCTTAGAGCCTGAGGTACTTGAGTTTGGGTCTGATGCATGGCATCTTGGCTGTATATGCGGACTCAGTTTTGTTTACAAGTGTCATCTGTTTGCGAGTACACGGGTACAGCTACTTTCCCATATTTACCTTTGCATTATGCTCCGGGAAGGGAGCATGGAATGGTTCAAACTCAGGAAGGCCTGGAAGTGAGCTAGCATCGGCGCGCTGCTTGATTGGTCTCCTTTTCACCGCACACTGCGGTGGGGTCAGAGGAGTAGTATCCCTATCAACCACTTCGATTGGGATGGAACTGATCTCCACGTTCTGCTTGCCCTGCAGCTGTTGTTTTTTGAGAGGATTAGCGCTTTGTTGATTGGCTGAACCATTGGTGAGATTACTCATATTGATTGAAATATCAGCAAGAGCTTTCCGTTCGGGCGGCATTTTGACTGAAGCTCACAATAGCGATCTACGAGCAGTGTTGGTGTTGAACAGCCTGAGGTTATAAGATTTTTTTTGGCTATTCCTGAATAGGCTAGTGTTCTAAATTCTAAAATGGACTGGATGTCTCGACGGCCCATGGGATAGCATAGGGCATTTGCATTATATGATAGGGTAATTTTAGTAGTCAGGAGAGGGTTTGGGGACGCACTAAAACCCTATCTTTGTGGATGGCTTGGCGCGCAGAAATCTCTGCATATAAGCCTCTCCTGTGTTTCCTAGTTTAGAGAAGCGCAACAACCTCTTCATATCAACAGTTAATTCCAGCACTGGCTCACACCTATTGGGGTTAGATTTCTTCTCGTTTCTTTACTTTCTCGTGTACCTACGGAGGTACTCGAGTACAGCCCATGGTATTGTATGTTATACTGGCACCTCATGCCTCTTCCTGTGTAACATACAATACTTATGGGCTGTACCTCCTTCCAACTCCGCCTTATCCTTTCTAGTACGCGACACCGTCTTATTTATTTCTAGTAGCATTTAGTTGAGCAGAAGCTAATTTGATAATATTGTTTGGGTCGGGAATTTAGGTTTCAATTGCAATAACGGAATGGCAGTAGTTAAAGAGATTTGAGGTGTGAGGAAATGGGCGTATGAGACATTCGGTGATGAGAGAGCAATACAATTCACCGTGATGGCTACCCCCCAAGATTTACAGGCTGTTGCGGACTATATTTATATGGCTGATCAATATGTTGAGGTTTGCTTCCTCCCATTTTGAAACATCTCCCCCTACCTACTAGTCTATGGCTACTTAATTAGCCTGTGATTTTGCGGGGGAGAGTAGTTAGTAGCGGTGGTGGGGTGGGGGGAGAGTTGAAACAAGAGTTTATATCGGAATCTCATTTGAAGCTAATTAGTTGCATGATGGCGACGGTATAGGTATCCGGGGGCATGAATAATAATAACTACGCCAACAGAGATTTAATTGTTAATACTGCAGAGAGAATGGAGGTTCATGCA